AGCTCCTTCCACTGGTATGGGACTCTTTAGCAGTTCACACAAACTACCCAACCCTGCCGCTGATTGAACCCGAGGCCTCGAGATTCCGCCTGCCAGAATATTACCATTTAGCCACTGGATTGGAACCCAATGGTGCATATTTCCTACTTTTGTCATTTAGCGACATAGTGGGACCATCACTCAATACCGTCGTTGAGTTGCTGTCCTCATGTTTGACGTGGTTGGCCCCACTAGTCACAATTTTGCATTCTCACTAAATTACTGCATCACTTAGCTATACAGCCACATTGCAAGTGTTTGTTCATGGCTTTGAACTTAGAACTTGACCCTTGAATCAGTCACTATTTAGCGATGGAATCCTGATTAGCAATCACGTGTTTAATTTTAAGTGATATTTTTAGGAGAATACTACTTAAATTAATATTCAGTAGTAACCTGCAATAGAGTAAAAGTTTCACATTTCATTGTTTACAAACATCATACTGTACATGCTTGTATCTTAATAGGAATATCAACACTTGCTGATTGGATTTACATCCAGTTAAAATACCTCGCACAATAAATAAAGAGTTCAAGTTAGATTCCATTATTATGATTACAGAAAGCTTTTCTATAGATAACCAACATGATAAAACTGGTTGGTGAGTTCAGTCTTGTAAATAAGCAACTTGAGAAGAGAATCTTCATTAATGTATGCCTTGGAATAATTCATGCGAATAAAATAACGCCTGACGAAAGCGTAAGTCACCTGAAGACTATTAGTTTTCTGTTAGCTGTTATACAGGGCCACCTAAGTCCCTGCAAAAATTGGCGAGGAATCATGCTCCTGTTCACCACAACCAAAATATTAAGCTACATCATCCTAGACAGACTAAAGCATGCTCTGGATTCAAAACTACTACCGGAACAGGCTGGCTGGCTGAACTCAGGAAGTACAAATCATGTGGGTACCAAATTGCGGCGCTACGTATCATCATGGAACAGAGTATAGAATGGCAGTCAACTTGACACAACCTCACCTCAACTTCATCGACTTTGAAAGGGCCTCTGACAGCGTCGACAGAGAAGTAATTTGACAGGCAGTTGCTTCAGCACTACGGAATACCACAAACCTTTATTAATCTCATTCAACAGCAGCTATATGAAGACGCCACATGCCACAAATAATAATAATAATAATGATCATAATAATGTCAATAGAAAAGATGCAGAGACGAAACTTGAAAAGAAATGCTATCAACACTCGGAATTGAAGTCTATAGAGGAAGATACAAGAAGTTAGTTGAAGTCTAAGTAGGTTGATATAGCTGACTGGTACTATGTATCACCATATGAACAGTTAAAACTCTACCAAATGGAACAAACTAGCATTGACTTGATAAGGGATCTGGTGTTGTCATATTGGATAAAATAATTATCTGAATTAGATAATAACCATTCCTATTGATCCAGGTTTACAATTGGTGGGATAGATATGCTTTACGTGTACACTTCAAAGTAAAACACTAATGGTAGTTCAGTGTTCTCTCAGCATTGATGTCTCATCTTAATGAAGTTAATGAGGACGATGTCTCTAAACCTGATGTTCAAATATCACTATGAAAATGTTATAGTTATGAAAACATTGAACTAGTATCATTTTCATCCTAAGCTAAGAATTCTTTCCATCATTGCAAAGGAAAATATTTTCAGCGTTTTTCATCAAAACTTTATTTCATATATTTTGATAAAAATAGGTGAGAAACAAATTGTTCATCCAGGTAGACTAGTTCATGAAGAATTCTTCATTTGAATTGTTAATTTCAATGTAGAAGTCATCTGATAACACTGATCCACTTTTATTTATCAGTTACGTGACGATTAGTATTAAAAGTTGTTTCAGGTTTCCGAAATATATCAAGACAAACTTATTTGACCTTAGTAAAAAAAGACAAGACAACTGCAGCCAAGATAAGCTTTTCTTTAGCACACAATCATTCTGTCAGTTTTACATTCATCAGTATATATACTGAAAACGACAGAACATTTCATAGTAACTTCTTATGAAAAGTAAAAGTGAAAAGGGAAGATTACGTAATGCTTATAGGCACTTGAGATGAGGAAATAAACAAAATGAATAGAAAATAAAGTATAACTATCAATGTTATTGTCTGTATTATCCGACTGTTGAGTGGACTGAAATGATCAATCTCTACTAGAATATGGACTCATCCGCGGATGCCTCGATATTGCTTCTGTTTTAATTACATATCAGTGATGGAAAGTAGCTAGCATTGGAATCCAAGGTACATGTTTCATCCTGTTTAAGACTCGTCAGCTGGATATACCTGCCTTCCACTGCTAGCCACTATCCACCATTAATATATAATTAAAATACATTCAATATCGAGACATTCACGCAACAGTCCATGTGCCAATAGAGATAAATTAATTCGGTCCACTCAATAACGGGATAATATAAGCAAAAACATTAAAACTATACCCATGGCACAAGAAATCGTCATTATGGCTCGATGGTCTAGTAGACAACGCTCTGTCGTTTGAAGCTATCGGTCCGGGGTTCGAGCCCCGATAGGAATAATAAAACTCAGTGTAAGGTAGGTACATTAACCTGAAGAATCCCAAATAGTGTTGTAACGAAAGATGTTTCATTAAGTATTTTGGAACGGATCCAGATCAATCTAGGACCAGGCATTACTGCGTAACGGTCTAACTTGCAACACCTCATATCACTACATCAAGTAAAACGAAAATGAAGTGCAAGATGAAGATAAGAAAAGAAAAGATAAGAAAATTCAGTCAAAAGAAATATAGAGCACTAAAAGAGAGAAACGAAGAATGAGAAAATGGTGACACTCGGTATAGCGTCGTTAAGATGAGGATAATGTGTGAGGGGTACATCTGCACCACTGACATTGATTCTGAAAGATGTGGTCACCTAGAGTCATTTTCCAACCACTAGCTTCTCTTGTCCCACGGACCCCAACCATCTAGTTTGCATCGCCCCACATAGTCCTTCTCCGCTATGGTCTCACTAACCACCTTTTCCCCTAGTTTCCTTTATAAGTCTAAATAACTGTCTACTGTTACCAATTGCTGCTGCCTTTTCCATCTCTTTAGCCTTCGCTTACCACCACTGTTCACGGTCGTTGCGTAGAATTTTTCTCAGTCTACTTTTAAGCTATGCCCGCTATTCGTTGTACTCGCGGCCGGCAGGGATGCGTTCACATGCATCCATTAGTCCGGAAGAAGCTGCTGATATCCACTGGCTCTTTTTAGACACCATTTTGGAGTCCGCGTTGGTCTTCAGCGCTGCTTTTACGGCAGACTGGAGATGGCGTCAAGCTTCTTCTGGATGATTGTTTTGGAACGGAGTTCAGGTATGATAAAAATCAGATTACAAGAGAAAAATTACGTAATGTTTGAAATAGTAATCAGAAGAAGACTTACCAAGATCGGACTAATATTTACTTACTAAGTGAAATGATGTAACATGGTGAATGAAAAGAGAAATCAGAATTATAGGAGTGGAGGAATGTAATATGTGAGAGGATCTGAATGAAAAGATTTTTGAAATTAGAAATGTTCTTATAGGTTATATCCATTGCAACTCGAGTGACTAGACAGATTTTTTTGAACGCAGAGTACAGGCCGCAAAATATTAATTGTTATGGCTTTCGCAGTTTGAAGGAGTTTTCAGCGTAAACCTTTCGTGAGATTTGTGCGAACCCTATAGATGACCCTAAAGCTGTTTTCTGCACTTACCGGGTGGTCATAATAGGTTAGATGTTCTAGAATAGAGCTGTGAACTGTTCTCCTATCTCTATTGTAGAACCAGGCTGGCATGTGTTCGGAAATGTGTTTGCAAAGGAAACGCTGAATACGGCCAATATACCTTACTCCACAGGAGAAGGTGAACTGATAAACAAACATCGAGGTGGCCAAGGGAGCTAGCTTATTCTTTGCACATAATCAAAGCAAAGGAGAAAGTTAGTCTACGTTTGGCAGCATAGAATATCTTTCTCAACGAGCATGTGAAACGGTTTCTTAATATATCTGCTGATGTGTATTAGTTGAACTGTAAGCTCACGAAAAGAAGCTTCTTAGGAGTTGTGGGGGCGAAACTATGAAAGCTATGAAACTTAGTGAGTTATCCATTCCATGTGGATTTTAAGTGGATAGATCTTTCGAGTAATCCATTGTTTTGACTTTTTGACTGCACGTTTAAGAAAGATATCTTAGAATTAATTTCCTTCTCTAATATGAATTTGATTAAAGGTTGGCAGTTATTAAGTTGAGATAGGATATCGTCTAGATTATCTATACTATTGGAGATGACGAATGTATCATCTATGTATCGCTTAAAAAATTTAACTGGTTGATTATTCCGTTTCGGTGTATGTTTTCTAGCTTCAACATGAAGAAATCTGCAAGCAAGGGTCCCAATGGTGAACCCAAAGCTATGCCATATTTTTGTCTATACATTTTATTATTGAAGGAGAATTGAAAGTTCGAGGTGTATCTTAATAGCAGCTTCTTCATATAATGTGTGGATATCCCAACAATTAATCTATTAAAACCAATATAGTCACATATGTAATATATTGTCTCAGTCAAAGGGACATTTGTAAATAATGAGACCAAATCTAAAGAGAACATGATTTTGTCAGAGCAATTTACACTATCTATAAACTTAACAAACTGAAAAGAGTAGCGAATTGTATGACCGAAATACAGTTTACTTGTTCAGTTTGTTTATAGCTGTAGTCATTAACTGTACATTTGAGTCAGGTAAGTTCAAGTAATCAAACTGCTTAAGTCAAACCGTTTCTGGTTAGCTGTTTAGATGAAATGTTCATACTTGAAATAAAATAGTTGAGAATAACACAGAAAAAAGCTATCGAAATGTGAAATATGTAACGAAATTAACATGGATAGATATCATAATATATTGAAAAAAACTTTGTGACAATAGAACAGGAAAGATCAACACAACTTACTGAACCCCAATTTAATGCTCTAGCCAGATCATTCCCAGTGCCTAATGGTAGCACAGCAACTGGTGGAACTATATTCAAGGCCAGAGAATCAATTGTAGAAAATATCCATCCAACTGTACCATCACCACCGCATACAAGAATACGTAGATTTGGAACACGACTGAACAATTCCAAGCTTAAATCACAAAGCAGAAAATATAATCATCATCAGCAATGATAGTAATAACCTTAAAAGTATTTCACTGGATTATTAAAACCTCATCTTGTGCTTCATTGTCAGCTGTAGGTGTCTGTTTTGGTGTGTCTATTTTCTTCGATATTTCACTTATTTTAAAGTTTATTTTAAAGTTTAACGGACAAGAATCATAAGAGCTGTATGTTTCAAGAAGTTCATCTAAGAAGTTGAAAACACTACAAATGATTAGCTAGACTACCTGTCTGAAGTACTCAAACTGATGGAAATTAATAGTTAAGGCCTCTAGGTGACATGGTTGAAAATTAGTTACACTGGCATAGATATATTCACTCCTTGACGTCTTCTAAAGCTTCAATATATGCGCCTAATCTTTATCTTCAAAATGTTTTTCTTTCCTAATTTAATAAGCCCTATTATACCATCAAGAATAAGATATTCAGCAAAGAGACTATTTTCAAAGAACACTATATGATGATGATAATGATGACAATAATAATAGCGAAATGAATGTTGACATAGGTATTTATGATTATTTGAGTCTACCAGTTCACCTGCTCTTTGTAGAGCAAGGTATGTCAGCCGTAGCTACAGAATGCTTTCAACACATATACAAGAATATGTTTCAGCTTGGTTTTATGAAGCATCAAATAAAGTCTGTTAGAAGTTCAATTTTAGAACATTTGATTGATTTCCATCAATCAACAAACTTTCCACAATTTCTTCTTTTTCAGCTTCTTAAAACAGCGGAGACTTTAGCTAGCTTCATGAACTAAAACCTGATCTGTCTATACATGAAGAAGTATATACAGTCACCATTTTCTACCATAACCTTCCCCTTTGTTAATTTAACCTTTGTATCCTTTCTTTATCAGTATTATTGTTATTATAATTGCCTTTATTTTGATTAGTTTCTGGTGTTATTTCACTTAGATTGTCTTAATCTTTTTAAAAAAACATTGATTTCATCTTGACCAACTTGTCTAACCTTATTACATAATACCTAACTGATTTACCACTTTCATCAATTTTTTCACCCCCTTCTGAGTTATATACTTCCTACGAACCATTCCATATATTGCGTAATCTACTTTGTTATCATTCACACTTTAGTTGTTAACATAATCATAATCGTAGCTCAGTTGGTAGAGCACCGGGTCGGTAATCCGGTGGTAGCTAATTCGAATCTGGCTGAGGTTCAGATTTTTAGCCCATTTTTTAATCGTTACCCAGTTCAAATACTAGTCTGCCAAACTGCAGCTATCTTAGACATTCAAATCATAATAAATGCCTATGTCATTATCCGCTCTATTATTATTGTCATCATCATATAGTGTTTGGTTTTTCTTATGGGATATAATTTTTCGAATATCATATATGTAAACGAATGTATAGAATAAAAATAAATTTTTTGAAAAGAGTCTCCTTGCAGGAAATCTAGTTTTTTCATACACCTTTGTGTATTTCGATATCAAGCTTTTTTCATTCACTTGTTCTTTGTATGCACCTTTGAATTGTGGCGACTCAAACAGATACACTAGTGTGCGCTTATTTTGTCGATCTGTCCATGTCTAGTCTGAGATTTCAACCCTCATCACTCATGATTTCATTCAGTAACGTCACCAGTGGGCTTTTTGGGGGCCTGGATTGGATTACATTGATTGGTCACTGGACAACGATCATTCTCACAGTCTCTAGTTCTGAGTACTGATAGAAGTTTCTAAACAGATCAGTGGGACTACCTTTACCACCTATCTATATTATACTAAACACTTGTGAACAATCTAAGGTGTCAACGTAACTGCAATAACTGAATCCATTTTGTTACTCTCAATTAACTTGAGCAAGCAGTATTAGTGATAAGTGACTGTGTACTACAGATTTAGATGAATACTCTTTCGAATTTCTAGGTGGGTGTGGGGATTTATAAATATTCCAAGTTAGTATTCATCGTAGACTAACATCAGTTGGAGGAACATAACAAACATGGGAGCACTGTAAAGCTGTTTCACCCTAGTATGGGACTCCTCATCAGTGCGCAACCACCACATCGCTCTCCCCAAATCGAACCCGTGATCTTCAGGTTCCGTGGCCAGCACGTTACCATTGAGCTAGCCACTGGGTCAGAATCCGATACTCCATATTTCCAACTTCTGTCAATTCACGACATAGTGCTCTTAGGTTTCCTTCGTTCCTCCAACTGACGTCAGTCTACGATGAATAACAACTTAAAATATTTCCAAATCCCCACAACTTCCTCAAGATATATGTTGTATGTTGAAAAGTTATCTGAAGACTTAAATGAAAAAGTTCCACTTTATGAAAGATATAGGGGTGATATCTTAATCATAAGCAATGATCCATGTTGTGCTATATCACTTCTGATTTGAATGAACGTAGTACTACAGAATAGAATGTCTTTAACAAATGATTACTGCCTATCTTTCTTAAATGTGTTAATCAGTTGGGGATAAGGCTGATAAATGAAACGATCTATTTGAAGAAAGCAATATTTAAACTGATACAGTTTCTGTCTGTTCCAATAGAAACGAGGTCTAATCAAATTGAACTAATTCGCAGATCCGATAAGTTGAAAGAGAACAGCTATCCAGCAAAGATCATAAGTCGACATAAAATGGGCCGAACATTGCGAAATAGTGTCGACTCTGTTTCTAAGAAAGATATTTTCATCAAGCTACCATACATAAGGTGATGCGAATAGCTTGGTAGTTAAACAGAGACTTAACACTGACATGAATAAAATAGATTATTCAGCTAAACTTCAGACAGTTAAAAATTCGAAACCCTTGGAACAGGTGAAAGATGAAGTCATATCCCACCGGTCACCGAGAATAAGCGCCACAGAACATATTCTATAGTAGCTTCAGAAATAAACAGAGTCATCTGACTCATTTGATGGTGTCAGCAATTTTCTGAGCTCCTCAGCATCTAAACATATTGTTGAAATCGGCCTAAAGGAGGAGTATAGACGTTATCTACACCATGTATAAGACTTGTTGGAGATATATTTCAAACTCCATATTAGATTTATTTATTTGATCTAGAACATGCAGTAAGTGATAGAATATTATTTACTTGATGAAATTTCAAGCATAAACTATCATTGCTCATAATCATATCAGTGTAATTACACTACTTTCGAAATCTGATTTTTATAGTCCCCTCGCATAATACTATTTGTTTCTCTGTTATATATATTGCATCATTCCTACTACATGTGTTGTGTGTTGATTTGATGAACAAAGATTCAGTAATCAATCTTTCTGCCTCTCTACCTAATTATATTGGACTTAATTAGGTAAAGTGGTTTTATCCCACCCCATTGCGTGGTTGTATGTTAATGAATGCATTACAATAGTAGAAGTCCTCTTTTAGGTTATTGAACATACTGAGATGTGCCATTCCATATTTAGCTAAATTCCTATTTTCGATGATCTAACTGACACCGATGGGCTGGTTTTACCTATGTACTCGACCTGGCTCATAGTCATTGCATGGAATTTAATGAGTTAGTTTATTTTACTTAAATGGTTCTATCGGATCCTTAAGCCAACCGACAAAGCTTATCTCTGAGTGAGTTTTTAGGTTTAAATACCACCCGAATCGCAGTCTTGTTGAGAATTCCTCGTAAAGTTTTTGATATACTTTCCTTATAGAGTAATAAAATGGATGCTGTTCATAGACTCAACAAGACTGCAGTCAGGGTGGCATTTAAACCAACAAACTCACTCACAGATAAGCTTTATTGACTGACTTAAGGATCTGACAGGCCCAGTTGAGCAAGATAATCTAATCTATCAAATTCTATGCTATGACTGTGAGTCAAGTCAAGTATATGGGTCAAACAAATCAATCGGAGTTAATTTAGTGGAACATAGGAATTTAGCTAAATATAGAATGAGAGACACCAATAAGGTCAGCCAACTATTAAAGAACTTCGGCGACTGCAATGCACATATTAACACACAACCACACAATGACCTGGGTGGGATGAAATCACTGCACTTAAGTCCAATATAATTAGGTGGCGAGCCAGAAAGATTGATTACTGAGTCTTCATGATTTGACTATCTAAGATAGCCGCACTTTGGCAGACTAGTATTTGTACTAGGTGATGACTGAAGATGAGATGAAAATCGGGACCGCGGCCAGATTCGAACCAGTTACCACCAGGTCACCTGCCCGTACTCTACCAACTGATCTACGAAGTCCTGACTAGGCAGACAGTGTGAATACGATCAAGCGGTAGTAACGTTCACGGATTCACATGTTAGTCAGACAAAACCCTTGGTGACTGAAGTGAAATAAAATTTGGGTCAGTAGTCGCACCTCGTAGTTCAGTTGGTGGAGCACAGGGCCAGTAACCTAGTGGTTGCTGGTTCGAGTCCAGATTTTCATCTCAACTTCAATCATCACCCAGTACAAATACTGAGTCTTTATTCATTGAATCAACATGTAGTAGGAATGATGCATTATATATAACAGAGAAACAAATAGTATTATGCGAGGGGACTATAAAAATCAGATTTCGAAAGTAGTGTGATTACACTGATATGATTATGAGCAATGATAGTTTATGCTTGAAATTTCATCAAGTAAATAATACTGTATCACTCATTTTGTTATAAATAAAATCAACAAATCTAATATGGAATTAAAGTCTACCACAGTGCCGAAGTTTTACATTTATATTGATGTATTTCAAAGTTTGTCGATGCATTAACCATTAAAAGGTTTTAGCGGCATTTATGTGTTGAGAAACAATTCGTCACCACAATGAACCTAACTTAGTAAATTCAGTTTTGCCTGACCGATTTTCACTGTTATTGTTGACCTTCAGTGTAGATTTCTCATTTGACCGATAATGATTATTCTACCCTTCAATTCTGTAATTTTTCAAATAAGTGACTAGTTCGAATGTGAACAGATTGTTCGAAATGTTTGGCGTTGTTTAGCAGTGG